TATTTCCTCTCGGATGAGAAACAGTAAACTAAATGTTTCTCAGTGGGAGCACTAACTGTGCTGTACTTTCTTTCGGATGAGAGTCGCGAGGCCTACTGATCATTTTTTCTGAATGTCAAACGGGGCGCTCCTGCTAGTATGTAAAAGAAAGCCTAGTTACTTATATAATATTTTTTAAATGTCTTTATTAATTTTACCTGCGTAATTTTCAATTCAGTTTTTCTGAAATCTAACAGCAAATAATAAAAAAAATCACATATGAATTATTTTAAATCAATTTAGTTAACTATTGTATTTATTATGATTTTCAAAGCAATAAGAATTTTATACAACTTGTTAAAATTAAATACCTAGTTTGATTTGTGAGTTTAGATGTATACATATCTGCCTAGAATTAACACTGTATTTTCTTATAGTTAATGACACAAAATTCAGAAAAAGTATAAAGCGAAAAAAGAATAAATAACACATTTTTGTATTAATTAAATTCACTTTTATAAATAATAAGAAAAAAATCTATCGGGAGTTTTTAATGACATTCATCAGCAATTTTTTTTTGTTTATCATTACTTTGGTTTTAGTTTGGTTTTGGTTTAGTCCAGTGGGACTTTTAAAATAATGTCGTTTTTATTACAATCTGTTCTTTTTTTACAAAATAAGTTGATTTAATACTAATAAGTTACACACACATATATATATATACGCACTGTCCAGTCGCATTAATGTGACCACCTGTCAAAAGCCAGAATATCCACCTTTGGCAGAGCGGACCGCTGCGAGACGTGCAGGAAGAGAGTCAATTAGGTTTCTCAATTGTTCACGGGGATGTTGAGCCATGCCGATTCCAGTGCCGTGGCCAGCTGCGCTAGACTACACGGGTTAGGGATCCATGGCGCGAACAACCCGATCGAGGTGGTAGCACAGATAATCGATTGGGTTTGAATCCGGTGAGTTTGCTGGCCAAGGGTGTACGGTAAACTCATCTCCTGGTGCTCTTCGAATCAATCACATACACTGTGAGCTGTATGACACCTCTCATTGTCCTACTGGTAGATGCCATCTTTCTGAGGAAAAATAATTCGCATGTAGGGGTGGACATGGTCCGCAAGGGCAGATGCGTACTTGTGCTGACCCATCGCCTCCTTCCACAATGATGAGTGCACCAAGTGAATGGCAAAAAAACATTCTCCAAACTATAATGCTCCCTCCTCTAGCTTGGATCCTTCCGGCAATTGTTGCAGGGTGTTTGCTTCAGACGTTTCACGCCGTATACGCCAACGTCAATCTGTCCGATGGAGAATAAAACGTGATTCATCGGAAAAAGCCCCCTGTCGCCACTCAGTGGACGTCCAGTTTCGGTACTGGCATGTAAATTCCAGCCTTCGTCACCGATGAACAGCAGTCAGCATAGGTGCATTAACCAGGCGTCTGCTGCGGAGGCCCATGCGCAGCAACGTTCGCTGAACCGCTGTTGAGGATACACTCTTGGTAGCCCCTTGATTCATCTGGGTGGTCAGTTGCTCAACAGTTGCACGTCTATTCGCTCGAACGCATCTCCGTAGCCTTCGTTCGTCTCTGTCATCTATAGCCCGTAGTGCACCACATGTGCCACGCTGCTGATTTTGGATAGTGCAATTTTGCCATGCACGGTATACTTTTACCACGGCGGCACGCGAACAGTTCATAAAATTAGCCGTTTCCGAAATGCTTCCACCCTTGGCCCGAAAGCCAATAATCATTGCCTTTTGGACATCGGATAAATCACTACGTTTCTGAATTACGCCAGCGATTGAAATGTTTTCCGATGCACTAGGACATCCTTTATATACACTCCACTGCAATGTGCTGCCACCTGCCTTTTGTGATTGGTTATTTCACGTTGACGTCGAAAGTAGGTGGTGGTCACATTAATGTGCTTAGACTGTGTATATTGAAATTAATTACAGTTTAGATGAAGAATTTTCGCCATAAAATTAATAACGTTCTCAATTTTTAATAGTTATTAATCTACTCATATCTTTACTAACCTAGTGATATACTACTCTTTTTAAACCATTCTCTTTTTTTTATTATAAAAATTGTTTCTCGGGAGGTGTTGTTGGTGAGAAACATCAGAAATCACCCACCAGTCAATCTGATTGTCAAGCGAAAATAGTCTGTAACAATCACCATTGAGTCTTTTCATTTTTTACAAGACTTAAAAACGGGAATTAAACTTTCACCTTCTTGAGTAAAGTAGTTCTTATTTTCTGGAGTAACAATATTATGTTCATTTTTGTTCTTATTCACTGATAAGTTCTATGAACGTATTACATTTTTGACTTTTATGATTTTATGAATAAATTTTCCAGTAAAGAAATGGTATAGAAAAAAAGACATTTTAACTTTTTTTTCTACTTTCAATTTTATATGCGGAAACAATTGAAAAAGTACTAAAATATAAGATTACTCTATTGAAAAATTGCTATGACGGTGCATTTTTCTGTTCAAAAAAAATGTATATTCTTTATTGCTCTTCTTTACAAGAACATCCAATTCTTTTACCATATGTCTTTGATAAGAGCTTTTAAAAATGTACCTTCTTTTTTTCGATAGAACAAAATGTATTGATTCCTGAATTCGAGCCAATTCCAAAACGTCTGTAAAATATTTTTTATTTTTCAAAAAAAAGAAACACACTTTTTCCATGTACCATTTTTTTTCTATGTATTTAAATAAATCCAGATTGATTTTTCCGTTTTGCATAACTATGTTTTTTTTTAAATCCCGGCCATACATCCAGCCGTGTACAGACTTTTTTGCTGATTCTCCAAAAATGTAAAGGATTTTTTTTTACTATAAACTATAAAAAGAAATGCCAAATGCCGTATGAATTCACTTCTTCCAATTCATATTTTGCCAATTCAACATTTTTCCCATCGCGAGGGATCACGGGAAGAATGAGTCCCGTTGCCATATTTTTAGATGAAAAACATCAAGTTAAACAGTCCGTCGTAGAAGATTCGAAACGTGTATGCTTAGATCTTCGTTTGTGCTATCATCGACAAGCGAGATTTTTTTGTTGTAGGAAAATCCACGCCATTTATTTGAAGAGTGTGCATTTTTTTTTTTTGAAATTGACTTTAAGTTCCATGGTTGAAAGAAGATACATATTTGAGATAGAGAATCACGATAGACGAAATATTTGAGTCAACAATTTGGTTTTCTTTATTTCATGGGGGAAATAGAACATGTGATATATGTTTAAATGTAACAATTCTACACATTTTTTTTTATTAGAACTTCAGAAATATACAGCATTATTAGGTTTTAAAATCCAGTATGTATGGAATAAATCCCTAGAAGCTTTGTATTGAATTCTTTGAAATTTGACATTGACACAATTTTTGAAATTCTGTGTTTTTAACTTATCGTAAAACAAAAAATGTCTATAGTATTACGAAAAGTTGGTGGTGGTCACATTAATGTGACTGGACTGTATATATATATATATATATATATATATATATATATAAAAGCTATTTACATATTTTGAAATGTTTAATTAGTTTTTTAATGCACAACAGAGGACTGCCTATTTTATCTATAAAATGATAAGCTCACAGAAGTAAGATTAGTTGATGATATTGATTTCCAAGAGGATTTTTAGAGGTCATTTCTTGGTTTTTTTAAAGCAATATTGAAGAAAGCCCTTTCTCACCTCAATATTAAATTTGAATCCTGTTTTAATGTACACTTTTTTTGAGAAAATTTATATAAATATATATTCTCATATATTATTATATAATATTTGTAATATTATATTTAATATACACTGCTTAAATAAATAATTTGAAACGTTTAACTAGTTTTTTTATGTATGTCAGTATGCTATATATTTTATCTATAGCATGAAAATCTCACCGACGAGTGATTGCTTAAAGACATTGAGTTCCAAGAGGACTTTTAGGGATCATTTTCAATTTTTTTTTATGATAAAATTTACGAACTGCAGCCCAACATCACAAGGCTTTATACTATCATTCTGAAGTACTAAAGAATATTGAGCTTGATGGTCGAGTGACTAGTGCTCGGGGCTACAGTTTTCGATATCGTGTCCTGTGCTGTCTTGAATGCTTCTAGTGGTTGGGAATTCACTTTAAACGCTAGGCATCGGTATAATATGACCGTAGAGACAAATCATGAGGTTGCGTGTAGGGTGAAAAACCATCAGTTGGGCGTAACAAATCTACCATGAAAAAGAAAAAAATTATCCTATTTCGAAAACTTCCAGTAGGTAGATGCCTTTGGCCCACAATGACAGGGATTTACTTAACTAAAGAATATTGTTTTAACCATCATCAAGTTTTGAAAGCATTGGCTTAGTTATAACGGATTCCATGATGACATATTCAAACTCTTCTTCTTCTTCAACAGAAAAAATCCCACATGCTTGCATTGACCTAACCATAAGATACTTTCTTTTTACGGGGTAGAGTTGCCAGTCCTACATCCAACAGTTGTATTAGACAGAGACCTAATGTTTTAAGTGGATTCTGAACCACTGGAAAACACCAATGCCACAACCAGAATTCGAACCTGAAGCCTGTGGTACCACTAGCCAAAGCGCTAGCAATTTGACCATCTGGCTGCATATGTCAAAATAAAATATTATAGCGAAAGTTATAATGTTATTATAGGAAAAAAATATAGCGAATGTTATTACATGATATTTATGTTGTTGCTGTTTCTTATCCCACTTGGCTGACCATGCCCACGAGCCCATAAGTACTCATGATGTAAGGGGAAGGAAGCAGCTTCTGTTGTGATGAAGCACCCGTAGGTAGAAGTCTGACTTTGGCTCCGTGACGCTCTTACAGAGACCGGGACCTACGGCTTAAAGTGGATTCCGAACCACTACAAACATCCATGGCACCACCGCGATTCAAACCCGAAACCTGTGGCACCGAGCGCCAGAGCGCTAGACACTCGGCCATTCAGGTCCCAAATTTGTGAGTGCCAACGGCACGCGGTGTTCCCAGGTGGTCACCCACCCAAGTACTGACAGCGCTTGACTTCGGTGATCTAACGAGAACCGGTATATTCAGGATGGTATGGCCGTTGGCTATGATATCTATAACTCTGGCATTCATACCCGGGAATCGATCACAAAACCTGGGGCACACAGAGCTAGTCATTCAGCCATCATCTCATAGGGAAAACAGAAGTTCCAGCGAATTCTTTAAAAATAATCACCTTTCAAAAAATTTGTTACAGTTTTATAACACAAGATTACTGCGTTATCGATAAAAAGTTAAATGTAATATTATCGATATAGCTGTAACATTTTATCTACTTCAACTATTTCTGAATTGAACAATCAAAATGCAATTTACAAAACTTCATCTTTAAGGCCAATGTCCAATCTAATTTTATCATTGTCGATATAGCTAAAACATTTTATCTATTCCAACTATTTCTGAGCTGAATAATCCAAATGCAATTTACAGACTTCTGCAGTAAGACCAATGTGTAGTTAATTTTAGCGGAAAATAAAGTAACGCTTAACAAGTAATTACTTTTGAAATCCTTAATTGCGTGTGCGAACGCCGTCTAATGCACTTGTTTCGCAATAAGTTCAAAATTACAAATTACCTCAACTTGAGTGGATGAATCCATTCATCTTGAGTGAGATACATTTAAGAAAAGCAGAAAATTGCAGGTCGTTCAGGTGTTATTACGCTGTGCGTGATTTAATTGAATATTCTTAGTTATTAATTAATGCATATTCTGGCTCAAGATATGAAATTACGAAATTGAGATTCTTTAAAAACTTCATTGCATAATAAATCAAAACAAGCATATAACGTTCTGTGCTTAAATGCACGTGTCTGTATAGTTAGAAATTGGATTTATATGCATTATTTTATGTCTAAAAATAAAATGCTTTAAACTATCATCATATATCATCTGTTATTTATCTGTTTTCACTGGTTCATATACCTTATTTAGTAAATTATGAATATTTTAATTTATTGTAATATGTCTGACAATTTTTAAATTTAGTTTATTTTTAAACGCAAACTGACTTTAATATAAGATATATATTATGAATTTTTAATATAAAAGGATACCATATAAATAATATATATAAAAACTATAAATCATTGAATTTCGCTTATTAATTAAAAAAAAAATTTTCGTCGATACATAATCTAAAGTATTTGTTTTTCTACATATGTCCTCTTTTATAAATTCAGCAAGAAAAAGTTCTCAATTTTTAGATAATAATGCATTTATAAATCAATAATAATAGATTTGTAAGTATGTGTAATCATTTCAAATAGTTTAATAAGGGCAGAAAAATTGCTCAAATATACACTCTGAAAATAAGTTTTCAACAAAAATATTTTAGACGATGCTAGTTTTTTTTTTTCATTATGTGTTACGGCGCGAGACAGTCACAAAGAATAACCCATTCCTATCTGAAAATCAATTAAAATTGTTTTTGTTATTTAAACATTATTCGTATTCGTAATTTATACATAATTTGTAATTTACGTTTAAATATTTTTCGCAATTGAAGTTTGAACACTATGCCTATTTGGAATTTAAGTTTTAAGATTATTCGTAATTAAAGTTTAAACACTTCCATATTCGTAATTTAAATTTAAATATTATCCTTAATTTAAATATAATCATTATTAGTAATTTTAGTTTAAACTGTATTAGTAATTCTAGTTTAAACATTATTCGTATTCATACTTAAACTTTATTCTTATTCGTAAATTACACATCATTCACATTCGTAATTTGACCATTATTTTTTTATTTATTATTTAATGTGTTCAACAAGAAAAATATTTTTAAATAACAATGCATTCAATTCATTGGTAATAATTCAATTACTTTATAATAGATTTGTGTATGCATGTGTCTATTTCAAACATTTTAAGAAAAGTTGAGATATCTGACAAAATAAATATGCACCCTGAATATTTGTTTTGAAACAAAAAGGCTTCAGGCTGCATTATTATTATTATTATTATTTTTAAATATGTCATGCTCACAGGTCGGTCTGTGGCAGTCGCAAAGAATAACCCAATAATCTTAATACCAACTTTCATACTTTCTTTCTTTAAATATTATTCCTATTCGAAATTTAAACATTATTCCTAATTTAAATATAAATATCATTCATATTCGTAAATTATACATTATTCTCATTCGGCCATTAATGGAACGGCAAGTTAAAAAATATTTCAAGAAAAAAATATTTTCAGGTAATAATCACAACAAGAAATAACTATTTTCATATACTAATTACAATAAGAAATAACAATTTTCATATAATAATTGCAATAAGAAATAACTATTTTCATATAATAATTGCACCAAGAAATAACTTTTTTCAAATAATAATGCATTCAATTGATTTATAATAGATTTCTGTACGTATGTGTCTATTACAAACATTTTAATATAAGATGACAAAACAGACAAAATAAATATGTACCCCTGAAAAAATGTTTTGAAACAAAAAAAGTCTTCAGCCTGTTTTACTTTATTTTTATCATGGTGACAGTCAGAAAGAATAACTCGCTTCTATTCATAACAACTTTCCTATTTTTCGTAATTTAAACATTATTTGTATTTGTAATTTACACACCTTTATATTCGTAATTTGGACCATATTCCTATTTTTCATATTTCAGATATTAATGTGATTATATCATTAATAACAAATTTACACGTGTGTGTCTCTATATCAATATTCTTCATGTTTTAATACTACCAAAAAAATCTAACCATAAATATACAATTTGAAGAGAAATTTTGAAACAAAAAGGCTTGAAACGGTATTGCTTTGCTTTTCCAAAAAGTGACATAGCACTGAGACCTTCTGTGGCAGCCACAAAAGAAAAGCCCCAACTTTCCTCAAGAAAATGCACACAGACACCTTCACTCACTCTATCTTCTATGGCATTCTCCCCTCCAAAAAATTCCAACTTTATTTGGCAGAAAAATATCGCTTCCATGACTAAATATTTTTATTTGTATCGATGTGGCCGCCCGCTCACATTTCTTCTTAACTCCAAATCCTCCGTGGCACCATATTAAAATACAGGGTTCGTGCCGGGTGTCACATTGGAGGAGAATGGCTTGAATTCCGAAAAAGATTCTTTTGAAGTTGGCGATGAAGTTGGGGATTAAAATATCCTTTTTTGATGTGTGCGTTTCCGTTCTTAGTTATTTTTCGGTGTGCTGGAGTTATTGTATTTTTTCTCTCGATGTTCTAGTTATTTTTCATTGAGTCCGGAATGATGAGTTTTGGAGTACAATAGCGAAAAATATTGGATTTCCAGGCTATCTATTGATATTTTCGGAATACGTCTGGAACTGTTTTTTATTCCTTGTAAATAACAAACTCATGATGTTTAATAATATGAAAATGGGTTGGCTTAACTCTTTAAACGCATAGAGAAAAGTTCATTTCAACGCTTTTGTAAATTGAAATTTGAAGTTTACCGTATATTTTATATTGAAAATATAGAAAACAACAAGTAAAGTGAAAGACAAAACAAACAACTGTTTTAAACTTTTATATAAGAAAAATATATTAAAAATAACTATAAACTAAATATAAAACTAACTTTTAAACTATAGATAATAGAGTTATACTTTTATGTGTCTATTTCAAAATTTTTAATAAAAACAGCGAAGCCCAACAAAAGAAATATGCACCCTGAAAAAAGTTTGAATCAAATACGTTTCAGACGGCGATACTTTTATTTTTTACTAAATATGTCTACGCGAGAGGCCATCTAAAAGTCCCAAAGTATAATACATTCTGAATACCAACTTCCGTAAATCTTATAGTTTTAACAGTATTCTTGTTCCTAATTTGCACGTCATTTTTCTTCGTATTTTGAATACCATTCTCATGATTAATTAAAAAATTCATTTATTTTCATATTTTAAACACGAATCGCATTCGTAATTTAAACATCATTCGTATTTCTTATATTTTCTCTGCAATTTATTTATTAGACATTAATGTGTTTATATCATTAATAACAGATTTGTACATACGAGTATCTATATCTAATATTCTTCATATTTTAATACGATCATAACCATATCATCTAACCATAATATAAAACCAGAGAAGAAACTTTGAAACCTACCACAACCTACCTGAATACCAACTTCACTCACTCTATCTTCTATCGCATTCTCCCCTTTCAAAAAATTCCAAGCCGACCCATTCTATTTGGAAGAAAAATATCGCTTCCATGACTAAATATTTTTATTTGTATTGATGCGGTCGCCTGCTCGCGTTTCTTCTTATCTCCAAATCCTGCGTGGCACCATATTAAAATTGTCACATTGGAGGAGAATAGCTTGAATTCCGAGAAAGATTCTTTTGAAGTTGGCGATGGAGTTAGAGATTAAAAGTATCCTTTTTTTATGTGTGCGTTTCCATTCTTAGTTATTTTTCGGTGTGCTGGAGTTATTGTATTTTTTCTCTCGATGTTCTAGTTATTTTTCATTGAGTCTGGAATGATGAGTTTTGGAGTACAATAGCGAAAAATATTGGATTTCTAGGCTATCTATTGATATTTTTGGAATACGTCTGGAACCTTTTTTTTCTTTCCTTCTAAATAACAAACTTATGATGTTAAATAATATGAAAATGAGTTTGCTTAACTCTTGAAATGCATTGAGAAAAGTTCATTTCAACGCTTTTGCAAATTGAAATTTGAAGTTTACCGTATATTTTATATTGAAAATGTAGAAAAAACAAGTAAAGTGAAAGACAAAACAAACAATTGTTTTAAATTTTTATATGAGAAAAATATATTAAAAATCTGTAGATAAAGTTTCCTTTTTAATTTTAGTTTCAGTAGAAATGTATTAAAAATGAAAACTTTGATTTTTCACCTTCAAAGATAGAAATGACTTGAAATATATTGTTATTCTATATGAAAATATAATTGTGTTTTGTTCATTTCATACTGAGCATTTTTTCTAAATTTTTATTTCGGATTGACTACATTATGCTGACTGGCTTTTGTTGGACAAAGTATTATCTATGATTATAACTCTAACTTTATATTAA